AAATACTTGGAAGGAATAGTGCTTAAATAGTCTAGACTAGGAGTGGCGAGGCCTGAATGAAAGTCCCCCCTCGGCCACTGAAATTCCCTGGGTGATTTTGGGCCAGTCATTCTTTCTCAGCCCAGCCAATCTCACAAGGAAGTTGTGAGGGAAAACAGGAAGAGAATGTGCGAGGTGCGCAATCTTGAGCTCCTGAATGAAAAGCAGGACATTGAGGAATTTTTTAAAATTTACACTATGTACGCTGCTGAGAATCATTTTGATTGCAGTGACATAGAAACCTGTTTCATAAATAAGTATAAAGCTAAACCACAAATGTCAGTGCCAAGGGAAGAATGGTGGGAGAGGAAAAGACCTCCTGGCTATGAGCATTGACAAAAATGCTAGGCTAAGATGGTTCTTGACTTGATCCACAAAGGCTATTTTCATGTTTTCTATGCTGGTCTATGACCATAATAAAGATTGGATTGATTCATGTTTTCGGTTAGCTTGATTCTGTAAGAAGCAAGTCCAAAAGGTTTTTTTGATTGCAACTTTGATGGGGGGAAACAGCTGCATCTGTTATATTGCCAATGTATACCCTTCAGTTCCAAAACTCTGAGTTTCTCTATTTTTAATGGGTTGGAATGAATGTTTTACTCTACTGTTTGTAGCAACAATGATGGAGCCAATTGAAAAGGAAAGGAAAAGTGCGTCATTGAGGAAGATTGTAGCCAATCGCTTTGTAGGAGTCTTTATATTGTATTTATAGCTGGCAAATTACGGTTCAAGAGTTTGCAGCTATATTGGTTCCTTTGGTCAAACTTACTTGCTTTTAGGGTCAGAACAATCATGGATGTCATCTTGATGGATGCCTCTGTTTTCCAGATGTTGTAGATGGGGAGGGGGGCGATACACACTTTGTGATTTATAGTAAAGTACACTTTAAACATTTCAGGCAGATTTTTATTTCTAACAAACCATTGTTTTGATGCAATTTGTTTTGAGGGTCTTTTTTGATTGGCCTCGCCCATCGAAGGTGCATTCTTTGGGCCCTATACTACGTCAGCAGCTCAGTCTTGATCCTTCATCCTTGGAGGAAAACCTGTAAAACCACAAATTAAACCTGAAGTTGGGCTCTGATCCAATTGGAAAGTTCTCATGTAGTCTACTTCCCGGTGAGCTCATGCTTAAGACAGAAACAATTCTCTTTTACCCAGGGAAAGGGGTAGTGGTGTAAAAACAGAGTGACCTATGCAAAACAGAATCGGGATGGGCAGAGCATCTCTGTGGATGCTATGTTCCCTGTTGTAGGTAACTGCTGTGGAGGAAGATCTAACTCAGCCTACAGTAGACACCGGAAGGGACATATGTGTGACCCATTGATCAATGATTAACCAGGAGAAAAGCTATTTTGAGAAAGATCAATAATCCCTTGAAAAGTGACACTTCTTTCTCTCTGGAAAACTTAAGCAAACATCAAAGTGAAAACGAAGTTTGTGTTTTTTTCCTTTGCTAAGGAAATTGAGATGAATCACGTGGGAGACAGAAGGAAATAATTTTAATTTTTACTGAGGTCAATCCCAACTAATACCATGTCAGATTACTCTGGGCAATCATTGAAGGCAAGAAGCTGGTTTTATCCTTGCATTTTTTTTTCAACCTGCCTTCTGAAAATAAAAGTCCTCAGGTAGCAGAATGCAGTGCATAGGGGGGGGAAATCATGATATCTAAAATCAGTGTTTAAATGTATGCGTGTACTTTAAAATGAGCAATGCACATTAATCTTAGAGGCAGTGATTCATATAAGCAGACTGCTTTATTTCAGTCTCTCTTTTTAGCTAATACTGAGGGACATCTTAACTGACAGGGGGAATGAATTTTCACAAATTTGCAAAACGTCGACCTCTTTCAAAACATGTTAGCTTCATTTATACATTGTGCTAAGCTAGGCCATGACTTGTTTAACCACAGTTTGCTGAATAAGCCCCACGTTTCAGAGTTCATTCTTTGCACTAAGCAATGAACCATAGTTTTCAAACCATAATGGCAATACAACAGACAAAGCAAAAACGAGTGAATCAAATTCTGGCTTAATTGTGCAAACCTTAGAGAAGCTTCTGCTTCTTTTGATTTAGACCCCACATCCAATGTGTGTCCTATTTTAATGGAGATTTCCTTTTGTTATGCATCCAATTACCTTTTCAGGTTTGTTATTATGGGTTGATGATTCACAATAACACCATTTTCTCTGCTAGCTAGTATCTTCACTAAGGTGAGTGTCAGCTTACAAATCCAGAAAAATAGGGATCCAAGAAGGAAAAGGTACTCAAACAAAGGGGTTGGTGGAAAAGAAAGAAAAATTGTGTTTCTGTGCTGGTCTCAGACAGAACCACTATCAGAGCAGGCTCTCAAAGAACAGTCAAAGAGATCGGTTCTAAATTAGCAAATTCCAGGCTAATTCAAAAGATGTACGTTTAGCAACTTTGTATGAAGAATCAAGCAAAATAAGTGGTGAAGTACAGGTAGTGGGAAAAAGAAAAGTAGAAGGCTTTGGCTTATCTTTAGGTGAACCCACCTATTGTATTTTGTAAACCATGGTTTATGGTTACATCATGAACCCAGCCATCTGTGGCTTATTGAAACAACTATGGCTTAGTACACTTGGTGTACCTAGTCACTTTAAACCCTACTGGATGGACTAATGATCTGAACTGATATATATCAGATCATAGGTGACTTATATAAGCCATGGTGATGTAAGATGCATCAGGCTATCAGCATGCAACATCAACATGTTATCAACATGCAAAGACATATATTACATAATTGGCATTGTTTGTGTGTGATTTCATAATGCACACAACATCACTTTCCTTACCTTGTGGACACCCATGAAACAGATCCTTAGGCTGTGGAGTCCTTGGGGCTCTCTGAGCTTGGTTGGTTGCTTGCTTGCAGACGTTTCATTACCCGACTAGGTAACATCCTCAGTCCTAGTGAGTGTGGGGTTTGCTCCCTCTTTATATACAGTAGCTCCCTTGCCAGCATTGGTACCACAAACAACCAAGCTCAGAGATCACCAAGGACTCCACAGTTTAACCCTGAGCTACCGATATTCTCTTCTATTGGAAGATTTCTAGGCTCCTAGAGCCCTGATAAACAGAGTTAAAGGGAACCCAGGCTAATCAATACCACACCAGCACTGAAAAGTGAATCAGCAATATTTTTTATCTCCCAAGAACACCTATAGAAGCAAAAATGTGTTGCTCAGGGTTGAACTGTGGAGTCCTTGGGGTTCTCTGAGCTTGGTTGTTTCCTTGCAGACGTTTCGTTATCCAGCTAGGTAACATCTTCAGTGCTAGATGTTACCTAGCCAGGTAACAAAACATTTGCAAGAAAACAACCAAGCTCAGAAAACCCCAAGGACTCCACACCTATTGAAGTACACATTGCCTACTTGAAACTGACCCCATCACTTACTTAACTAAATGTGACCATTACTTGATTAACCTGTAGGTGAAATCTTACAGTCCCAAGGAAATGTAATCTGCTTGCCATCTCCAAAAATGAACTCCTCTCAGGCCAGTTGGGCGGGGAGGGAGAATCTTTCCCAGGTTTACATTCTCTCCACATGGTCACTCCTCATCAACTTTCTCTCTCTGTGTTAAAACTTTAGTCTCCAGAGGAAATAAGGAAGCCGTATGCATCTGTCAGCATCACTAATTCCATCAAAGATTTCTCATTATTCATTGTTGGCAGTTTAATTTTCTTCACTTGCCTTCTCTAGAACAAGCCACAGTTTTAATTACTGATCTTCCCATCTTCCAAATGTAGTGGATTCCACTATAATCCCAAGAAAGGGCTCACTTGGCATGCATCTAGGTTAGCCAGTCAGCTGCAGACCATGTTGGCTAATTAAGGCATTAGGAAATAGAGCTGGAAGCTCAATTGTCAGAGTTGCAATATCTTTGCATTGCAAAAGCGGCAAGTATTCTCAAATCCTCCGAGCATTTCCAGTCTTGAATGTAATTCCTTCCCGTTCTACTTTAGCTTAGAAATGCACAGCAATGCTCATCCATAATTTTACGTGGATTTTTCCTAGCATCAACATTTGGGGTGAATTTTTGCCTCAACGATGCATCGTTTGCAAATGCTTCGCCCTAAAGTAATGCATTTTGGGGGGGTCTTTTTTTCCCCCTTCAAATCAAGGCCCACACATTTAGAGAAGCACATCCCTGCATTTGGAGAAGTGCAAATAATATAGGACACTTGAGTTTCATTGTGTGTTTTGACTCAAGATGTGTTTGCCTTAAAGGCAAGACACAAACATTTCTTGCCTCTCCATATGGATAACTCAGGATATAGCAGGCCAGACAAAATACTGCCATGATAAAGACATTAGATTTTAAGGTGCTGAGGGTAACTTAATCGTTTTTGTCTAAGGTGGTCCATAAAATCTGCAACTTGGATATGAACTAGTAAGGTCTAAGCTGGCCAGAGTTGTGGTTAGTGTTGTTATTATTAATAGTAGTACTGTAATTTAAATTTAATTATAGCTGCCCACTCCTGTAGACTCCCAGAGTTAAATAAATATTTTTTTATGAAGAATCTTCCTTTTTTTTTTTTTTTTTACAAAATGTACCATCCAATGAATCAGGGCTACCTTTTGGATTAATTCCACCGCCACCCCCCCCCCCATTAATTAATCACTGAACTGCTGCATCCGAGGCGTTCAGGGTCAAAAAATAATATATTTTTCCTTACCTTCCTGCTTTCATTCCCGATTGCTCCAATCTGTGAAATCTTAAAAGATATATTCAATTAACATTTGTCTCACTTTCCTTCCTTCAAAAAAACACCTCCTATAATATCAGTAAGTTGGTGACACAGCTATGGCTAATCTTATCTATGCTGAGTTTTGCTGTGATAAATTCTGGAATTTAAAACCACCAGAGAGTACAAAAGCAGAGGGACAATTGAACAGATGCTGCCTTGTGACGGCAAGGCAGAGCAACACCATGAAGGTACAAAACTCTCTAGCTCTGAATTTCATCCTTCTGACTGCTGTTATTTGCTATCCAGCTATCCAGAAGGAGAAGAAATCAGGCCCCCACAAACTCCTCCTGATCTCCTTCGACGGCTTCCGGTGGAATTACGATGAGGATGTGGACACTCCATACCTGGATTATCTGACCAAGGAAGGAGTGAAAGCAAAATACGTTACACCTCCCTTTGTGACTATGACTTCGCCTTCGCATTTTACAATTATCACAGGTAAGCCCATCCCATATGGGTTAGTCTTACCAATTTACCAGGGAACGTTCCCTAGAAGCTTATGATGATGATTTATATCCCATTTGACATCCCAGAGATCAACATGGCATTCTTGCTCCAGCAATTCTAGGAAGGACACCAAGCACAGAGTTTGTGACTTGTCGAAAAGTCACCTGATGAGTTTCCGTAGCTGAGGATAGAAGGTGGGTCTCTCTGGTCCAAGTCAAACATTCAGATCTCTAGTGTACAGGGGCTGTCAGGAATCCAATTTTGGCAACTGTGATTGCTAGTCCATTGTAGAGCGTAAGGAAGATGGCATTGATGGAGATACGTAAGCTCTATTAACAAAGCAATGAGGAGTGAAACATGTGTTAACTCCACAACCAACAGATAATATTGGGAAGATGCTCAGACAGATACCTCCCTAATTCACAGGACTATAAGGGGGGAGGAGATACAGCACAAGTGCACACACTTGCAAGTTTCAGTTATTCTAGCCAATCTCAACAAAAGTGGTCTTATCTTCCTGTGGAATTGATTTCTCGGTCAGGTCTACCTAGTGGGGCTGGCACCCGTTGAACCTGGCAGTAACTAGGCATATGGTGTCTGTTGCCAAGTTCAGCTTCAGATCTGTTCTGAAGAAGCCAGCAATATGGCTAGCAAAACATCAGCACAGATTCATTGTCTCGCATTTTCACTGAAAAATATCAGCCAGAATAGCCTACACTCCATGTACTACTTTTTTTTAACTGTAGATTATGCCAAATTAAAATTTTAGCACAGAGATCAGGATTTTTTGTCCTGTCAAAGATAGCATCCCTCAATCAAAATATGCTGAGGTCCACCCATTTTGATAGTGGGTGTGGCCAGATCCCCATTGACCTGGATGTAATTCTTTGTTCTATAGGGAACAAAAAGATTAAATGGCATATTGTATTCTCCTTCCCACCATGGGCACCATTCCTCAAGTCTATCCTGCTAGGTTCCTAATCACAGTTCCAAGAATGGCCAACAAGGGGTCCTCACTACAGAAATTAGAGTATTCTCTGTTCCCTCATACATGGAAGATAGCTCTTTGAAGAACTCCTCCTGAAAGACAGGAGAATACTTTGCAGAGAGGTTTTGAAATCTGGCCAAGGACAACGTAAAAATAATGAAATTGAGATTGGTGTGAATCTTAAGGACTGGAGGTTGCAGGTCCTCTCTTCTTATCTATGATAAAATGCTATGTACTGAATTTAGAATTACAGGATATTCTTTGAGGATGTACCTGAAGGAGGACAAAGAGGAAGAAGAGAGAAAATGATGGGCAGTAAAAGAGTAAGGCAGAGAAGAAATCTGAAGGGTTGTTCAGAAAAAACATCACATTTGGCCAGGATCAAGGACTCAGCTAAAAGTCCTTTTTTATATACAATGAAGAACTTTGCTTCTGCCATGGTGTTCACTTTGCTGTATTGTTACAATGAACCAGTAATTAAATATAAGTTGATTTCAGCAATATGACCATTAAAGGAATTCTTATCGCAACGATCTCCTTATCATATACTAAGAGATAAGGCCTTATTGTGTAGCCTGTGATAACATCTCATCTTTGAGTTCAAAGCCCAACTGCCTGATTGACTTGCAAGGATCTTGCAAAACAACAAGGCCATTTTTGCTTACAACGAGAAAAGCTTCCTCATTAAATCACAGGGGCAGAACCTCCGGGATGCCAGTTTATTTATTTATATATCAAATTTGTCACCGCCCATCTCACTGAAATGACTCTGGGCAGTTTACAAAGCAGTTAAAATCAATTAAAATTACAAGATACGAATCATCTTAAATAAATAAAGAATAAATAGATCCAAGGATAGATGTTAAAACTGGCAGTCGCCCGGGGAGCATCATCAAGGTGCCAGCCACCCCCAGGATTGGGTAAGATTGTTGTCACCCCATGGAGCTGGCAGAGCCAGATCTTCAGTCCTTTCTGGAAAGCGGTGAAGGTAGAGGCCCACCACATCTCTGGGGGAAGAATATTCCAAAGGGTGGGGGCAACAGCAGAGAAGGCTCTCCTTCTGGGCCCCGCCAGCCAACATTCTCTCACTGACGGGACCCACAATATGCCCTCTCTGCCTGACTGGGCGGGACAGGTTGATGAGATAGGGGGTGAGATGGTCTCTCAGGTAACCTGGACCCATGCCCTGTAGGGCTTTAAAGGTAATAACCAACACTTTGAATTGTACCTGGAAGCAAACTGGGAGCCAGTGCAGCTCCCGCAGTAAAGGTGTCATATGCGGCACCCAAGATTGTCCACGCGGCCGCATTTTGAACCAGCTGTAGCTTCCAGATATTCTTCAAAGGTAGCCCCATGTAGAGTGCATTGCAGTAGTCTAACCGAGAGATGACCAGGGCGTGAGTGACTGACCGAAGAGTCTCCTGATCCAGGAAAGGGCATAACTGGCATACCCCATGAAGGTGGGTAAAGGCCCTCCTGGCCACAACTGCCACCTGCTCCTCAAGCAGGAGTTGTGAGTCCAGGAGGACCCCCAGATTACACACCGGGTCTGTCCAGGGCAGTGCAACCCCAACCAAAACCAAGGATTTACCCAAGGGGCTTCCAATCCACAGCCACTCTGCCTTACCAGGGTTCAACTGAAGCCTGTTGCACCCCATCCAGACACCCCCCCCCCAGCCTCCAGGCACCACGAAAGGGTGGTCACGGCATCACTCACCTCACTCGGGATGGAGTTGAGGATGAACTCTGACTCCCAGCATCCTCTGCCACTGCCCAAGCTGCCTAGTACTGCTGGGAGTTGTAGTCTGGTCCCTGCTTCAAAGGATTGCTAACTCAGTTTTGGTTTGTGCAAAACCAGACGTCTTCTGGAGAAAAAGCCAGGAAACGGCAACAGGGGAAATAACGTATTATTTTGGTAGTTCTTTGGTAACGATATTTCTAATTGTCTTATTTAATTTGCACTTATATCCGTTCATTTGTAGAGGTTTAATCAGAGTTGTCAGCCTTCCCACAGTTCCCTTTTAATCAATTCCATTATTATTCCCTACCATGAGCTGATATGATCAAAGAAACGGATAGGTTGGCAAGCTGTATTAGATAGGGAGTGCACCATGCAAATGAAGAGTTGTCCAGTCTGAGAGAGATTTAAAGCAAAACAAAAAGCTCTGAAAAGAGAAAGGAAGATCTTTTACCTCATTTCTGACAGACAGAATCTAGGCAAAAATGCAAGCAGATCCTCAGGTACCCAACAAGGTCTTCTCCCCAATGGGATCATGCATATCTCTTACATTTCCATGGATTCATAAACACTTCCTTTGTGAAACATAAAGGTGGAGTCTCCTTCAACTTGAGCTTGACTTGATTCTTGGTGACTTGATTCACTGGATTCCATGTCCACTTTGTCTTCTAAGTAGCAGTATGGAAGAGGTTTGCCACTGCCTCGTTTCAGGAAGTTTTTTCAACTTCCCAGTTTAGTCTAGTCTAATCTGCAGCCAAGGTAATTAAGCATTTGTAGGGTATGGTCAAAAGTCAAGGTGGCAGCCATAACCGTCTGTTTTTTATGCATGATCCAAAGAAGAAAAGATAAAGACAGAACAATTGCACACTTTCTTTTGACTGATGGTGCTAGGAAAAATCCATATATCGTGAGAGCCCTGGTTGGTTTGACCATGGTTTATTGCTTATAACACAGCTGGGTTCTCATAACATATTAAGCCAAAAAATGTGGTTTACAAACTGCAATGGATGGTTCACATAATATAATGTAGAGAGTAAGGAAGATGACGTTGTCGGAGATGCAAGCTTTGTTAACAAAGCAACAAGGAGGAAAATATATCTTAAGTTCACAATAGGCAAATAGTGTTTGGAAGCAGCTTAGACAGACACCACTCTAATTCTCATGGGTATAAGAAGGGAAGGAGGTCCAGCACAATCAGACTTGCAAAATTCTGTTATTATAGCTGATCTCAATAAAAGTAGTTTTAGCCTTCCTACGGAGTTGGGTTTTCTGATCTGGTCTACCGCATGGGGCTGACAGGAAGGCAGGACCATCATTGAATCAATCCACTGGTGAACCTCTTGAAAAAACAAGAAGTCCAGCTTTTCACCAGTCCATGTAGAGAGTAAGGAAGATGGCTTTGATGGAAACATGTAGAAACGGCTTCCCAGGCCAAAGGGGATGAAGCGTTTTTAAGTCTAGAGAAATGAGATAACATTTGGAAGGAGTTCAGACAGTTGCCTCCCTAATTCATTGGGTTATAAGAAGGAGGAGGAAGCACAGCATGATCAGACTTGCAAGATTCTGTTCTTATAGCCAATCTCAATTAAAGTAGTTTTAGTCTTCCTGTGGAGTTGATTTCATGGACTGGTCTATCTAGTGGATCTGACATATGCTAAGCCAAAACCACACATATACACACACACTATAGGTTAGTATAATGTGTGAACTCAGCATAATCATTATAGCCAAGAAACAATACGAAATCTGTTCTTTCTATACATTATGTTTACAGTAAAAAAAAAAATCATTTTCCATATTTTCCTTGGAGACAAGCTCAGAAAAACTGAGATTTTTTTTTTCCTTTAAGGCTGACTAAGTTCAAGACAGCTCTAAAAATCTGTAATGCAATTACATGTTTATATGTGCTCATTATTTACTGAAAATTAATTAAAGCAGACAGGCGATATGCTTATATGCTTACAAGCCATTCAACAGGTTTTAATTAATATTCCTCATTAGAAAGAATTTCCCATAAAGTAAATACATTACTAAGATAATGATTTAATTAGTATTTGAATGTGATTGGTTAGAAAGGGCAATGTTTGCACCTAATTAATTCTAGGATATAATTTAGTAAGGGCTAAAATAAAGCAGAGGTTAGCAACCAATTTTTCTTGGTAGGGATGAGGGGGAGAGATCACTGTGGAATTTCAGATATTAACTCACATGTTGGCCCAACACAAGAAATACTTTGTCTAACATAGTATCAGAACAGATTGATCCAAATCACTCTAGAAATTGACCAACAAGCTACAGAATGAATGAATGAATGAATGAATGAATGAATGAATGAATGAAGATAGATAGATAGATAGATAGATAGATA